CCCTGCTGCTCTTCTCTCCCGCTGCCAGAGTCCGCGGGGAAGCTTCCCGCGCTGCTCCTCCGTGCCCGAGCAATGCAGCGCTGGGGCCCTTCCCCAGGGCAGCCCTGCCCCGAGCGTGCCCCAGACCACGGGCGGACATTACCGGCTCTTCCACTGCCTACTGGGCTGTGAGAAGACACTTGGGGCAAATTGTAAGAAAACAACCGCACAGAACACTGCAACCACTAGACCTGGCTCCCAAACAGACTTTATGGAAGGGCGGGAAACTTGGCCACACCCGTGATAAGTAGATCTCTGGCTCACTAAAATCATGCTTCAGGGGGTAGCCCAGTTAGTCTGTAATTGGAAAACTTAAAAAACAACAAATGGTCTAGTAGCACTGAAAAGACTAACAAAGTATGTGGATGGTAAAAATCCATGAGCTTTTGTGGCAAAATCCACTTCTTCAGATGACTGCACTATTGAAAGTCAGGAATGAATGGGGGGAGAGGAGGAAAAAAAGAAAAGAAAAAAAAAATCTATTTCTTGTCTCTTTCTCTCCTCCCCCTCCCTTATTTATTCCTAGATCTGGACTTCTAATACTCACTCTGAAGAAGTGAGTTTTGTCCATGAAAGCTCATGATTACCATCCACATTTTTTTTTTAGCTTTTAAGGTGCTACTAGACTATTTGTTGTTTTTTAAAATTGTGCTGTACCATGGATGTTGCTGGTACAACCTGTCTAGGGATGTAAAACCCCATTTAATGGGTTAACTGGGACACTGGGCTGGGGGGGCACTCCAACCCAGTTGGACTAAATCACACAATACCATCCTATCTCCTCCCACCCTGAAAAAGGGTTGCTCCAGCCTGGCTGGAGTGCCCTGCCTGTGGCACACCCTGCCTAGGTGGCCAGGCCCACTGCTATCGGGAGCTGCTCTGGTCCTGCTGGAACACCCCAAGCCCATGGCGAACTCTGTGAGGCTAGAGCAGCCTCCCACCTGTGGTGGGTGGGGAGCTGTTCCAGCCCCCACTGGTGAACTGAAGCTGATAGCCTCAACATTAATGAGTGAGACTTTACCAGTTAACCATTCATATCCCTAACCTGTACTGTATTATATTTCTGAAGTTGTTCTTGACAAAGCCCTGTCTCAGATGGTTTACCGTATTTTCCGGCGTATAAGGCAACTGGGCGTATAAGACGATCCCCTAATTTTCTAGTTAAAAGATAGGTTTTCGTCTTATACTCGCTGTATAAGACTACCCCCCCTTAAGAGGCCAACCGGCAGTGCCCCTCTGCTTCCCCGGCTTTGCTCCCGGTGTCCCTGGTCTGCTGGAGACGGTCCCCAGCAGACCAGAGGCTC